TCTCATAGATTAAGATTTTTTTTAAAAAACCAATGTAGGCTATATGGGTGGGTATAAAATGCTACAATGCTCTTCCAACAAAATTAAAGGACTATACAAAAACTGCCAAATTTAAAAATAATCTAAAAATGTACTTTTTAACTAAACCCCTGTATTCAAAGAATGAATATTTCCTTCTACATAATATATTAGAATAAGAACATTTTCAATAGTGATTATATACCATGTACTTTTTTAGGATTAAGCATTATGATTTTAATCCAATGTAATGACACCATTCGTGCACATGTTTGCAAATTATGAATAAAGTTCATTTCATTTCATTTGGAAATTGAAGGCTCCTTTCCACCGTGCTCCTTTCCGTTAAAAATTGCTAAACACCACCTCACCATTTCATAAGTACTATACCTTTTAAAATTTTGATTAACAATTGTACACTTGTTTTTACAGTAACAAATAAGGTGCTTAAGCGTAACAAACAACCACACCCATAACAGACAAACGGATCCAATTGAGTTATTCGGCTTTTATTGAGTATGAAATGAAAAAAAGCTATGCTAAACAAAACAACAAAGTATTAGAGAAATTATTATTTTATTGATTTAACTGGCCATAATCCTCATGGTAAATCCGGAAAAGGCAAGATATTTTATGATTAATGCATATATTTTGATCTTACATTGGCTAATATCTAACATCGGCTATTAAGATTCAAAAGAAAATTATTTTGAATACATTTAAAACAATCCCAACGAAATCCAAAAAGACAACTCCATTGTATCAACTTTTTTAAATTAGCTATGGTTTAAATCATTTGCTGTCTGCAAGAGTAAGAAATAAGCACTAAGTGTTTAAAATACGACTGTATCGTATATAAAATAAAATTCTAAAGGTACATTAGAAAAAATGATATTATGAATTGAAAAATGATGAATTGGATAAAACAACTTATAACAAATCGATTCACCTATTGTTTGCCAAAATATATCTCGCTTAATTGAGTTCACATTTTATCTTATGCTACCGGTATATATTCAGATAGAATGATACATCTAATCAAATATGAATCTGTGCATTTCATTCAACAATTAATGTAATTTGCAATATAATAATTGGAACACATAATTCAACATTACGAATTTCCAACAAAAATTCAGTTGGATGGAATTAAATGTACTGTTGTTATTAGGTGAAATAACGGAGGACAAGTAAGTATCAAAATAAAACTTTTACGGGACACATTTAGCGTACGCGGCCAACGAAATAAAGAATTCAAGTTCAAATTACTACAAGTATTTTACATTTAAATGTTTCGCAGTCAAGTTAAATAGGCACCCTCTAGTGATGAAATGCAATATTTTGTATTGTTTTACTACTATACACGAACATCTGTTACTTTTATATTTAGCGTTCGCGGCCAACGAAATAAAGAATTCAAGTTCAAATTACTACAAGTATTTTATATTTTAAATTTTTGTATTACAGTACTAATAATCACTATCAAATACAGTATTAAAAGAAGCATAAAAGATGTATTATATGTAGTAGGCATCAGCGTATTTTTGAATCTCAAATTTTGAAACAAAACTAGGTTTATTTGGGCCGGATATTCACCACCCGTTGACACCATCACTTCCTGAGTCGTTAATGCCAAATATTGCAGTAGTATTCTAATACAATAGTAATGTATTTCCTAGAAGGTTTGGCTCCATGTTATTGCCCCTGCTTCCTGTGTCGACGACCCTGTATACCACCCCACGAGTATTTCCGGGAGATTCCTGGGATTTAATGGGTAAAGTGCAAGCTGAGGTCGAGGTCAGGTATCTACTCCCGAGAAACCTCCCCTCCACAACACACAATAGGGGCAGCACAGGCCGAAAGTCCGTTTCCCTGCCAATACGGCTTCAGACAGGATCAACAATCAAAGCAATATCCAAGGTACACAATGCAGTCAAGCGTGCCATGAGCTTCAATCATTTCTCTCACCGGATTGTGCTTCTTGTTACGCTAGATGTCAAGAAAGCATTTGACTCAGAGAGATGAGTCCATATGTTGAACGCGTTGAGGAACAGCTTCAGCGTACCACATATCTGTTGAAGCTCATCAAGGACTAGCTGCGCTGCAGAACTCTTTATTACGAAACAAAAGATGATTTGCGGACGATAGATGTCACTTCCGGTGCCACGCAACGTTCAATACTTGGCCCATATTTGTGGAACGCTGCCTACCACAGCCTTCTGAGATGTGATGTGCTAGAGGAGACTGTTTTAGTTGGGTACGCTGATGACGTTGAAGCCCTCATTGCAGCACGCAAATTTGAGCTGGCCCAACTGAAACATGTCATGCACGTTGTAAATACCTGAATAGTTGATGATGGTCTGTCGCTCGCTCTGAGTAAGACAGAGATCGTCATCCTTACAAAGAAACGGATTGAAACCATCGTTCCACTATGAGTGGGGAACATAGTTGTCCAAACCACGTGAACCGCCAAGTACCTCGGTGTCATATGGCCAATGTTGGTGGTCCTCGGTCCAGCTGTAGTTTGACTTTTGATTTCTGCAGTCCAGTCCTTGCTTCTCTACATCACTGAGGTGTGGGCGTTGAGCCGTGGCATGTCCACCAAGCGTCCCACCAATGTCACGCCTCAGTTTTTTTGTATAGTGCGAGTGCTGGCTTTGCGCCGGAACTCGGTCGGTTTGGATCGGGCAGCAAACCTGCAACCCAGAGTCAATGTCCGCCTGACACATGTGAATCAGAAGGACAGCGACTGTCATACTACACAGTTTGTTATTGTTGTGAATCAATATGTATCTGCGTCCATCGTCAGAAAAATTTGTTTTATTGTTATTGCCTTAACTTAAAGTGATGTAGTTTTGTGTGCCGAGAACGCCGGATGAGGTCCCAGATGGGAGGCTTTTTTCTGCTGCTTCTGGAGAGGGTCGCCCGGGGAGACCTTACACCTTCTCCCTCTTTGGGCTGCCAGTCACCCTGCTCCTGGGACCAGTAGGACACACTCCACCTTCAAGCACCACCGCCTACCACCAGGAAGGACGTTGATTGTGCCAAAGCCGCAAGTGTTAATATGTTAATTTTGAAACTTTATGAACATTTTTATGAACTTTAAAAAAAAAATGCCGCTATCTGAAGGGGCCCCAAAAATCTATTTTTGTTATTTATTTTATAGTAGCCTACCTGTTATTTATTTTAATTGTTAATTTATTTTTGAAGTTTAATTAATATTTACAGTTACCATAATTTATTTTATTGTTAGGCCTAACATTGACAGTTACCATTTTGTAAGTTCAGAGGGGTACACATAAATTCTTATTTATTTAAATTTTTGGGAAAAGAAATTATTTAAAAGTAAATTCTTTGGATGGTTACCTTGTTTGTTGTTTGTTATGTTGTTGAATTTTTAATATTATAGGCTTTGTTCACAATTTGTTGTCTTGTAATTCACCCACGACATTTCACTTTTTAGTTAGGGTTGTGGGGCGACCACTCGCACTGTCACTATGGGGGACACGCTTCCAATAGTTGTTCGTCTGGGGACGGTGCGAGGGGTCGGCTGAGCAGACGCACTGAACAAGGAAGCGTACAGATTGAGGCTCGCACGAGTGCAGCGTCAGTCGGCACTCAGGGTCAATTCCCCTACGTTTGGTGTCCTAACCGGCCGTTTTGGTGATTGCTAGGGTAATCCCTGTCAAACTTTTGGCAGCGAAGAGGAAAGCAATCTACCAGAGACAAGGCTACATCGGGAAGGATGCTACAAGAATGGAAGAGCGCTCCCGCACTTTTCAGATGTGGCAAGACAGCTGGGAAAGGGAGTCTAGAGGACTTATAAACTAATCAGACAGGTCCAACTGTGGGTGGAACAGCGACACGGTGAGGTTGACTACTATCTCACGCAGTTCTTGTCAGGTCACGGCTATTTCCAGTCATACCTGCACTTGATGGCCAAAACGAAAACACCTGACTGGATATCTGTAGGCCTATGCATTCCCGACGACGCGGAACACACTTTCTTCCGCTGTCCACAATGGGATATGCTCTGCCGGGAGGCCACTCAACATCTTGGGGTGCTGTTGGTTTAATCAATTTGTGAGACCTTGCTGGAGGGTGAGGACAACTGGGACTACTGGTCACACTTTGTCCGGAATATCCTTCAAGTTCAACAAATCAATTAATCAATGAACGGCTAGTCACGGAGTAAGCCCTTCTGGCATAGGCAAACACTCGGCTTCTGGTGACAAGTTGAAGGGGAGATACAACTAGCCGTAGGTACAATTAGACGTAGGTACAAGTAGGCGTTGGTACAACTAGTCGTAGGTACAAGTAGTCGTAGGTACAAGTAGTCGTAGGTACAAGTAGTCGTAGGTACAAGTAGACGCAGACGTATAAGGTACAAGTAGACGGTGGCGTACCCGACTACCCGACTTCTCGGCAGTTCTGATGAAGTGCGACGAGTGTTCCCAGGCTAGTGTCTGAAGAGTAGAGGAGGTTTTTCCTCTAAACCAATACAATTCATCTATGGCACTATGCTAGTAAATATAAGCATAGATAAATCATACTCCCTTAGTAGATTTGTCATCCTTATGGAACAGCTGAAGCCAATTTTATTGTTTGTTCTGTACGTCCAACTGTAGAGGTTATGTTTTGTTTACAATTTGTTTCTTGTTATTTCAGTCATTTAAAACCTCATTTAATCATATAAAACGATTTAATCATAAAGAATAACTGGTCCCCTAGTTATATAACCAAATAGTAAAGCACAAATCATGAAAATAATCCTAAAATAATAGAAACAAAATGTGGTCTACCCCAGCGATCAGTGTGGACGTACATGAACTAGACATGAAAAACAAGCTTCAAAATTTACAATGGGATGAGGAGTCTACTTGTGTTGCTTAGTCTATGATATAAGCTATGTAAGTTGGTCAGTGCTGGTACTGCGCTTGTACTTGTACTATGCTATAAGTGCTATAATGCTTTGAACTTACCCATGTAAACTAGCTTGTTTTTACTGTGTGATTCGGATGTAGATGGGGTTCCAGGAAAAGTTTTAAGGTGTATTTAGATGATTTGGACTTTCCAAATTCCTGGCCAAGCTAAGGCTGTAGGCTTTGTTAAATAGTTCCTCAAACTCAGGCGATTCAAAAAAACAGTCAAAATCTTTACAATTGTTTCTGGTAAACATTCCATGAACTAAATATTTGTAAAGAGAAATTTGCTTACTACTCGGTCCTTTTAATTCTATGTTTTGTCGTTTCATCTGGCTTTTAACTACTTCAACAAAAATCATCATAATAACATTTTTCTTATTAAATTGCTTAAATATTTTTTTAAACTGAGAAACAAAATCTGAGCCCAATTTTTTTGTTGATTCCAGAAACATTTTTTTTACTTCTTTGTATTTTCTATCAGCTACAATTTTACTGGTAGGGTCTGTTTCTATCTGACGCAGTTTTTTCATTTTGTCATGATAGTCGTAATCCTGCATCAGTAGATGAAGATGTAGAGACATCTGCTCTACACACTGTGATACTGAAGGTGTTGGGGGATAAAAATCAATGATGGGTTCATATTCATCTTGAAACTTGGCAAGTTTTTCTTTTCGATGTTGTTTCAGGGCAAGTTTTCCTTTTCGATATTGTTCCAGATATATGCTGGAATCGTCATCCCCTTGGACTGTTAAGTCCACAGCTTGGACTATTAAGTACACAGATTTCTGAACTTTCTTGAAGTGTTCATCTGAAGATTTATAAATTTTTTTAAAAATGTTCAGATGTTTTATTCTTTCTTCTTTAATTGTTCGCTTCTTTTTTAAATCACTGATATTTATTTTACTTAAATCAATGCTAACCTTGATCTTCATCCTGAAAAAGAAAATACTATGAATCAAACAGTATTAATTGTATAATACCAATACCCCGGCCGCAGCAAACCTGCCGACTAATAAGCGAATTTTCATTTATCTGAATTGATTTTCAATTAGAAACTATTTTTAAATAACATTAGGTTAAGAATAAGAATATTTTATTTCCATTGATCTGTTTGTACAGAAATAGGCCTAGGACAAGTCAATTTGTTATACAATGTTATACAAATGTAACATATAGCAAATAAAATGTATTAAAAAGAAATACAAACTTGTGTATTAAAAATCTCCTCAAGTTTATAAAAGGGATTTTCTACCAGCCAGGTGTACAATACAGATTTAAAACTGTTTAAACTAACCTCTCTCGCATTCTCAGGCAGCTTGTTGAAAAAATAAATGCAATTTAGTTTTGGTAAGCTTATGTGGTACTATATCCAAGTTCCCCACCCCCCTGGTATTATGATTAGGAATATTTTGCCTAGTACGAAACATATTTAAGTTTGTTTTAGCATAAACCAAAACTTGAAAGATGTATAGATTGAATACTGTAGGAACTTTGAACCCTACAAAAAGTTGCTTACAGTGTGCTACGCTATCGACTCCTGCCAAATTACGAATAGCTTTTTAGCGAATTTCCCATATAGGGAATAAGCTATTACCGTAGTACTCATGGTAAGACCTGGACGCAAGACCGATTTTTTTGTTGTTTTGAGGTCCCTAGAGGCCAAAAACACCATTTGTTCAAATTCATATATATATATATATTTATATATTTATATATTTATACATTTATATATTTATATATATATATTTATATATATATATATTTATATATATATATATTTATATATATATATATGTGTGTCCGTTAGCACGATAACTCGAGCAAAAATGATCCGATTTTGATGAAATTTGGTACAAACGCGTAAACCTACGTTTATTTGAACGAGTTCGCGATCCAGTATGATCGGACCATGGGAACGGGGGTTTATGGGGGGTTTTATGGGGTAAAAATAGGTTTTTCCCATTTTTGACTCAAAAAACATAAAATTTTGCAATTTCTTTCTAAACCATTTTGTAGAGCTTAAAAAAACAAATAATTTAGTATATTGAAGTGTTGTTATGCGCCTAATTGTTACGGAGAAAATTTCAAAAAATTGTAAATTTAAAATTCCCATGTTATTCTTATGGAGAATAAATAAACTGTTGTAGTTTGCTTGTTTATGAACATATTTTGATCAAATTTGGAATTTTTTTTTTCTTACTAACTATTAACATTTTACAAAAAAAAAACAGTTTTACCCTCCCTGATGCAGCAAACCTAAGTACTTTTTAAACTAGGAGTACGCTCCGAAGTCACGTATGAGAATGAACGAAGACCATATCATACATTTGCCAACAATAACCATATTATTATCAGCTGATTAAGCAGGATGGTTTATGACAAAGCCAACCTTGGTCCAAGGTCATAAGGCAGGTTTGATATTGATCAAATCCACAATGGGAACAGGTAAATATTCCCAGTTTCTGCAATGTATAATCAAAGAATATTTCAATGTGTTACAAAAACAGCAATTGTTCTAATATGCTGAGTAATAGTAATATAGGTTTCACAATCTATCACCAGGAGCTGTACCATTTTCAAATACCAATGCTGTAGCAAACCTGCAAACTAAGCGAATTTCCATTTACCTAGCTGGATTTTCACTAAAATATTCCCTTACAATTGTAAGATTTATTTCATAGTACCTGGGGACCGAGCTTTGCTCGGGGAAAATCATTAGTTTACTCTGAAAGCAGTCTTAGTATTGCAGATACATTAATCCATCTCAAACTCCACAATGCTCGCTCTTACTACTTCTTTCCCATAGCATTTTAGGATTTCAGATACATTATTGCAAATGCCACATAGTTCCCACACTCTGCACTGCTAGCCTTACTACTTCCTTTACCATTTCCTACGTCATGGGCCTGTTTCCTTCCCTTCTCATAGCATTTATGTATTACAGAATGATACATTGATCTAACTATAGGTCGACCACTCAGAAAAGAACCCGCGCGCTAATGTTAATAGCATTAGCGCGCGGGTTCTTTTCTAAGTGGTCGACCTATAACACAATGGTTCCCACACTCAGCGATGCTAAACTTTACTACTTTCTACACCACTTCCTACTTCGTGGACCTGTTTTCATATTATTCCATAGCATTTTAGTATTTTAAATACATTAATCTAATTGCCACAAACATTTCCCACACTCCGCACTGCTAGTATTTACTACTTCTTTCACCATTTCCTATGTCATGGACATGTTTCCATCCATTCTCATAGCCGATGGATATGAGTACCATTCTCATAGTGGATTTATGTATTGCAGATACATAAATCTAACTGTTACAGACGGTTTCCAGTTCCCACACTGCTCGCCATTACTACTTCCTTCAGCACTTCCTACGTCACGGACCTTTTTTCCTCCAATCCCATTGCATTTTAAGATTGCAGATACTTATTCTAATCGTCATAAATAGTTCCCACACTCCGGACTGCTCACCTTTACTACTTCCTATGTAGCGGACCTGTTTTACTCCCTTACCATAGTATTTTAGGATTGCAGATACCTTAACCTAATTGTCATAAACAGTTCCCACACTCCGGACTGCTCGCCTTTACTACTTCCTTCACCACTTCCTACGTCGCGGACCTGTTTTACTCCCTTACCATAGTATTTTAGGATTGCAAATACCTTAATCTAATGGTAATAAACATTTCCCACACTCCGCACTGCTAGCATTTACTACTTCTTTCACCATTTCTTATGTTGTGGCACAGAAAACATACTACTATAACCCAGAATGCCAACCGCATGGTAAAAAGCATTAAGCGGTTTGAGAGAGCTTTGCCTGTCAATCCGTAGGCAGCGCCACCAGCGTTGCCATGCAATAGCATAGCAACGCTGGTGGCGCTGCCTACGGATTGACAGGCAAAGCTCTCTCAAACCGCTTAATGCTTTTTACCATGCGGTTGGCATTCTGGGTTATAGTAGTACGTTTTCTGTGGTTGTGGACATGTTTCCATCCCTTCTCATAGGATTTCAGTATTGCAGATACATAAATCTAACTGTTACAAACGGTTTCCAGTTCCTACACTGCTCGCCATTACTACTTCCTTCAGCACTTCCTACTTCTCGGAACTTTTTTCCTCTCTTCCCATAGCATTTAAGATTGCAGATACCTTAATCTAATGGTCATAAACAGTCCCACACTCCGGACTACTCACCTTTACTACTTCCTTCACCAATTCCTACGTCACGGACCTTTTATCCTTCCTTCCCATAGCATTTTTAGATTGCAGATACCTTATTCTAACCGTCATAAATAGTTCCCTCACTACGAACTGCTCGCCTTTACTACTTCCTACGTAGCGGACCTGTTTTACTCCCTTCCCAAAGCATTTTAGGATTGCAGATACTTTAATCTAATCATCATAAACAGTTCCCACACTACGGACTGCTCACCCTTACTACTTTTTTCACCACTTCCTACCTCACAGACCTGTTCTCCTCCCTTCCCATAGCATTTTAGGATTGCAAATACCTTAATCTAATGGGCATAAACAGATCCAACACTCCGGACAGCTCGCCTTTTCTACTTCCATCACCACTTCCTACGTAGCGGACCTGTTTCCTTCCTTTTCTATAGCATTTTAAGACTGCAGATACTTTTATCTAATCGTCATAAACAGTTCCCACACTCCGGATAGCTCGCCTTGACTACTTCCTTCACCACTTCCTACATCGCGGACCTGTTTTTCTCCCTTACCATATAATTTTAGGATTTCAGATACCTTAATCTAATCATAATAAACAGATCCCACACTCCGTACTGCTCGCCTTTTCTACTTTCTACGTAGTGGACCTGTTTTACTCCCTTCCCATAGCTTTTTAGGATTGCAGATACCATAATCTAATCGTCATTAAGTACTTTTTAAACTAATTCTATTTAAATCGGGAATAAATGTTATATTTTTAAGTAGACATTTCAGTGTAAATCCAATCAGTCAAATGGAAATTCGCTTAGTCTGCAGGTTTGCTCCGGCGGGGGTATTTTTTTAAGCAATAGGATGTCATTAACATGTAGTGAGTGACCCCATGCAAGCAATCCATATATTACACCATGCAAGCAATCCATATATTACATGTGCCTGAAAGAGGCCAAAGTATGCCAGTCTCAAATAATCAGGACTAACAAAACTTTTGAGTTTCCAAAGCAGGCAAGTCACTCTTGAAATTTTGCTACAAACAGATTTGATGTGATCAGACCAGTTTAATTTTGAATCAATGTGTATTCCTAAAAGCTTGACCGATTCCATATTGACTTCTCTTTTTAAACTCAATGTTATATAGGCCTATTGTGTTTTTTCCAAATTACAAGATAGATTATTTGACCAGAACCAATCATAAGCCATTGTCTCAGCTTGTCAGGACATTTCTTGTAAATAAATCCAGTTTTCATGATTGGAAAGTAATGTTGTATCATCAGCATAAATAATGGAATAGGTATTTAAGTTTTTGGGCAAATCATTAACATAAACTGTAAAGAAAAAAGGACCAAGGATTGATCCTTGTGGGACTCCAGATACCACTTCAATCATCTTGGAACAATTATTTCTAACGGAAACATATTGTAATCTCTTTGACAGGTATGACTCAAAACTCAAATCAGTTTCAAGGAGCTTTGCGCCACACCGTAAAACTGAAGTTTTTTTAGGAGAATATCAAATGGGACACTGTCAAATGCTTTACTGAGGTCACACAGCACTAGAGAAACAGATTGTTTCCCCACAAAAGCATCTAAAGAATAATCTACTAAATGTATTATTGCTGATGTTGTTGATTTATTTTTACGAAAGCCATGTTGACAGTTTGTAATTATATTTATGTGATTCAAAAAAGTAATTGAGTTGATTATACATAGTTGATTCATATACAGTGTGGCTGAAAA